TTGTCCCCCAAACAATCCAATCTTTGTGGGCAGTGTTCGGGGCCCCCATTGTGTCTCCAGTATGCCCACTGGACAAACCAGATCTCCAGAGACACAGCCACAGCCTCATTCATTGACTTTCCCCATGAGTTCTACATTTTATGTTTGTTGTCTGGCTTGTGCATTAATTTGAGCAACAGTTTCAGTGGACAATCTTCAAATTTGCATGACTATATAGCATAGAGGTGAAGAATCTTACCTCTTGAAAGCCATGTGAAGTTGGGAAAGTTATGGGGTCTGTCTGCCTCCCGGTAAGAGGCTAATAATAGTGCCTACCTCATAGTGTTGTCGTCGGATGAAAAGAGAGCGCCTGTCAAAAGATTTGAATGTACCCTTCACCAAAGAAGATATACAGATGCCAAAGAAGCTTATGAAAAGATGCTCAACATCCTTAGTTATTAGGGAAATGCAAATTGAAACCACAATGAGATCCCACTACACATGTATTAGAATTTAAAAAGTTAAACATACACCTATTTCACTCCTAGGTATTTACCTAAGAGAAGAAATATATGTCCAGACAAATGCTTGTGTATAAATATTCACGGCAGTTTTATGTGTAATAGCCAAACTGGAAACCACTCAAATGTCTGTCAATGGAATATTACTCAGAAATAAAAAAGATGAACCATTGATGCACAAACAACAATGAATAAATCTCAAAATACTTATGCTAAATGAAAGAATAAAGACCAAAAAAAACTACATACTGCATACAATTTATATATTATTGTAGAGGATACAAACGGATCTACCATGACAGAAAGTAGATCAGCAGTTGCTTGGGAATGGAAAGGGTCGGGGGTGGGGTGAGAGGAAGGCATTGCAAAGAGTCATGAGGAAGCTTTTCTGGGTAATGGATACGTTCACTATCTTGATTGTGATGATGGTTCAGTAGAATATACATATGTCAAAACTCTTGGGGGGGGGAAGGGATAAAGGGGCACATATATGATGGTGGGTAAAGATTAGACTACTGGGGGGCTGGGCCCATGGCTGAGTGGTTAAGTTTGAGTGCTCTGCTTGGTGGCCTGGGGTTTTGCCCATTCGGATCCTGGGTGTGGACGTGGCATGGCTCATTGGACCATGCTGGGACGGTGTCCCGCATAGCACAACTAAAGACACTCACAACCAGAATATACAACTATGTACTGGGGGGCTTTGGAGAGAAGAAAAAAAAAAGAAGAATATTGGCAACAGTTGTTAACTCAGGTGCCAATCTTTAAAAAAAAAATTAGACTACTAGGGGTGTGTAAGATAGAGTGTAGTCAGAAATTGATAAATAATAATGTATACTCGAAATTGCACAATGTTATAAACCATTATGACCTCAATAAAATTACTTGGAAAAAAAACCCTTCTGAAATATACACTTTAAATAGATGTGATTTATTATATGTAAATCATACCTCAATAACATATTTTTTTAAGTGGGAGCCTGAGACAAAGCAGGGCTTCCATAAGTATTAACTGTTATAAACTTTAGTGTTATGCTTAAAAATGTTTTAGATGAAATTTGTGAAAGAACGTCTCATCAAAAGCAATATTCAATGGTTGATTCTATCACCATCATACCATAACCTAGCTGCAGTTTTCTTTTCTTTTTAGGGATGCTCAAGAATAAACATGAATTCAAAAAAATGGTCCAGACTTTGAGGTCAAAAGGCATGAGTTCATGTGCCCATTATATTGTCCAGTACCTTGTGCTGACATTTGACCTTGATTTTTCTCATATATAAAATAGTATAGGGGCCAGCCCAGTGGCATAGTGGTTAAGTTGGCATGCTCTGCTTTGGCAGCCCCAGCTTTGCAGGTTCAGATCCTGGGCGTGGACCTAAACACTGCTCATCAAACCATGCTGTGGCGGCGTCCCATATACAAAATAGAGGAGGATTGGCATGGATGTTAGCTCAGGTCCAATCTTCCTCACCAAAAAAAGGAATAGTATAGAGGTGCATCACATGATTGCCATAAGAATCAAATGAAATAAATTGATGTGTGTTCTGCAAACCATAAAGCAGCACTGTTATATCAGTCTTCATGATTAGGGAGGAGAGGACATAAGTGTTCACATTTTTGCAGACTTGGTAACAGAGAGCCAGCAAGATAAAATAAACCTTGACAGAAAATATTTCACACAAGAACGAGGGATAGACCCTACATCTCCTGAATTTCCTTACTTGGATATTCCCACATCAGAATTGCCTGGCAGACTTTTAAAAATACAGATTTCTGGGTCCCCCATCCCATATTTACTAAATCAGAATCCCTGGGGGTAAGGACAGGAATCCGAGTTTTAAAGAAAGGGGCTCAACTGATTCTGATGCAGCTGGCAGCAACAGTCAGTGCGTGGTCTTTTGGAAACATATGCCTTGACCTTGATGTCTCTCAATGAGAAACATGGGCCGTCCTGGTCTCTGTTGCTCAGGTTAAACCTGGTTTCAGTCTCCAGAAAAGATAATGCACGTCCCATAATGACTGGGAATGCAGAATATTTTGAAACATCTTCCAAATACACGTTTAGTATCCTGAGCACATCCCCTATCACCATTTCTCTGTTTTCCTGAGCACCTATACTCAGGATTCGTACTGGCCCTGAGATTATCTATCTTGGTAATGCAAATGCTTGTTACTTTCTTTCTTTCCAACCAGTCTTTTCCCTCGCAAAACCAAGTCATTCGGTGTTGCATGCTGGCAGCTCACCTTGGATAGTCTGTCTGAGGGGTGGCTTGATACCAACATCAAATTTATATGTATGTGGGATTACCATTTGAAAAGCAAGAAGTGAGAGGAAAAGCAGAGGGATTGGTGCCCAATCAGCGATTTGTGCCACTTGGGATGGTTAAAACAGAGGAACAAAGGCTAGAGTTTCCATCTCCTCCCATCTCTTATCGTCTAAACCAGCCACGACTCTATTCTTCCATCCACAAGGAAAGAAGACTCCTTTTCTGTCTTGAGGATGTCAAATCCTCTTATAAGTTATATCATGGGGGTTATTTCAAAATTCTCTATCAAAAGAAACCACATGAATATAATTAAATCTCTTATCATATGGATCATTATTCTATGAATTTGGACCAGATGTTGCAAAAATGTCTTTAGGGGTCAGGCAGGGAAAATCATTGAGGGAGAAGAGCTTGTAAGATGGAGAATGAGTGCCTCACCTGAATGGGGCAGTCCCCAATTGTTGCCATGTATGAACGTATCCCTAGGTTGCAAGGTATTTTGATTGTTTTTCCAAAGAGGTGGCAGCAAAAAATAGCCCTTCTTTTATGCTGGCAAATTAAGGGAAAATTACTTTTAAAAGAGACAAATAAAACACCTTCAAGTCAGCTTGAATTTGCACACTACCAGTATATGACCTCTGATTTTTATTATTCAAAACCATAATCACTTAATAATTGAAAAGAAATTATGCCAATATAGTAAATCCTTGCACTCATATGATCAGTCAATAACTATTCAATCCTGACCCCAGAAAGAACACTTTGCTCATATAGAAGCTGAGTCTTCATGGGAAGCTAGAATAGTCAGATAACCATTGGTCTGAACAATAGCTTGTTGTAAAATGCTAATCAGCAGTAGGTTGGGACTTGGTTTTCTGCCTGTTGGGCAGCGGCATGACAGAACCATATGCTCCTTCTCCTTGCAACCTGGATTGTCCATCCCACCAAGAACAGCAGGTGGTGATCCTTGCAGGATAACCCTCTCTCACACAGGGCCCTGCATAGGAAGGGACAGGACCAGGGACAAAGCACTGAACTCAAGAATGTCAGGGGAGGCTGCAGCAAGTATTGAATATTCTTTTCTGGATAACATGTATATGTATGATATGGTCACAGATTGTCTTCTCTTCATTTTGTTGAGAGACTTTCCCTGTACTCTAAAGAAAGCGGGGTAATGTTTTTCACAGTTGGTGCTAATGAATGACACTTGGGAAGTATCCAATAAACCATGTTTCTATTTGAAAGCCAACAGTACGTGCAGGCTCCAGTTGATTTGAAGATATGAGTAATGGTTCTCTCCAGTTGAGAGATACTGTGGGATTTTAGGTTATCTCTAACTTGGTCCTTTAAGGCCTCCCAGATATATTCGTATATCAGGGCCTCAGCCTGCCCCTCTCTGTTCTCTCACTCTCTGATGTCCTGCCAAGTCCTCCCTTTGGCTGACTCCAACCAGAACCCAGAGGGCAAGGGAGCCCAGGAAATTCAATCCAGAGAGGTCAGCCACCAGGGACACAGAGTAGGGCAGAAAGCGGCAGATATGAGTCTGGGAGAGGGGGGCAAATGAGAGTTATCATCACAGAAGGCAAGGGGAATCATAGCTCTTGGAATATTAGAGAAGGAAGGGATGTTTTCACCAACTAATGCTCTAATCCTCATTTTGTTGATGAGGAAACTGAGGCCTGGGGAGTTGAAATGACCAAGGAAGCATTATAAACCCAATAAAAGGCATCCTTGAGACCAAAGGCTGTTATCTTCATATCCATTCTCATGGCCTTTCCACTTCATTATGCTGGGAATCAGGATTTATGAAACTTTAGGATTGGCTAAAATGGGGCACCTACACAGTCATTTGCCATTGCTGTGCCCTTCAGACATGAGGAATCGATGACAGATATCTTTCCTCCTGAGCCCAGATGTGCCCTCAGACTCCTTCTCATCCTAAGGCTCCAGGCAGCCACTAACAATCCGTCGTGTTGCCCTATTACTAACAATCCAACATGCTCTAAATCTTTGAATACAAAGCTTCGGATTATTCTAAGAAGATTTTCCTGCTTGACACACGGCTTATTCTCTGAAGGTGCTTCCTTGAAGACTTTCAAACTGCTTGCCCTGGTGACTTGGTGGCGGGTGTTTATAGTTTGGAAGGAGGGGAAGCACCATAAGATTAATTCTCCTGAAGGATTATAATAAAAGGCCCTAATCCCTGATGGGTTTTCTCTTTCTCTCTCCTTGCAGGTTGACAGAACGGAGGTGATTCGCACCTGCATAAACCCAGTGTATTCAAAACTGTTTACTGTGGACTTTTACTTTGAAGAGGTGCAGCGCCTGCGGTTCGAGGTCCACGACATCAGCAGCAACCACAACGGGCTGAAGGAGGCCGACTTCCTGGGTGGCATGGAGTGCACGCTTGGCCAGGTGGGTCGACAGATGTCCCTTCCTCCCTCCTTGCCTTCTTAGTGCCTTTCTTCCTCCCTTTTTTCCCTCTCTCCTTTTATACAATCCTCGCTTTCTTTCTCCTATTGATTTTCTTTATTTTAACATGTAGCATTCTATGACTGCCCATGCACTGTCACATCCGTTATCTTTAACGTTAGATTTACATAGGGATGATGCTGCAAATATGTGTAGTCTTCCTTATTTTGCAAAATTAACCATTTTCTCTTCTGACTTCATTCTGTCAGTCATTTATTTAACAAGTATTTGTTGAGTGCTTCCTCTGCTCTGCTTGTGTGTCTGTTACAGCCTTATCCTGACACATTATAAATTCCCATCTCCCAACTCAACTGTGAGAACCCCCACACATGGGGTATTGCTCATTCACGTGTGCTCCAAGCCTGTGGTGACAAAAATAGCCCAAGAGAGGACTAAATAGATATCTGGTGAATGAATAAATGCTTTTACTTCATCCTCACAACAATCATGTGAAATAAACATCATTATTATATCCATTTGTCAGTGAAAAGCCAAGACTCAGGTCAAGCGACTTGCCGGAGGCCCCACACTAAAGAGTGGCAGAGTTAGAACTCGAACCAGGTCAGCCTCACTCTAAACCCCACCGTTTTGCTTCTGTAACACCCTTCCTTTTTCCCTCCCCTTCCTGCGGTGTCCAGAACTTTCATAGATGCTGAGGAGAGATCTAAATGAAGAAATAATCCTTGTCCTCAAGAAATGGACAAGGTAATTGGAGAAGGCATGCTATATGCACCTCAATAGAGCAATTCATGACGTTCTCTAAGCTGTAGTGAGACAACATATCCTGGGCTCTATACAGAGGGTTGTGGGCCTTCAGGGCAAGGAGAGATTTTCTGCTGATAGAGTCAAAGAAAGCATTTGTGGGACCAAACTTTGAAAAAATATGGTCCAGGCATTGAAGAAGGAGGAGGGAGAGCTTTCAAGTAAGAAAGCAACGTAAACAAGGCCTAGAACCACCATGGCGGAGTAAAGAGCTGAGGAGACCGGTTTCACTGAATCAAGGTCAGATGCTCATTTACTGTGAAACCAGTGAAGCTTAAACTTCAGAGCCCCTCCCTCGTGTGGACTCCCTCCAAGGCTCTGTGTCACATTTTTATGTGTAGTTTTGTTCTTTTTTCTCAAAGAAGGATTCCAAATCATATAAGCCTCAAGCCCTGCAAGACCTGGATCCACCCTCTGCAGAGGTAAGGGTCCTGTTTAGGGATTAGTAAGAGAGGGTGCCTGGCAGAGAGGCGGGAAGCATGCCTGTTTGTTTGTTTGTACCCTGCCTCAAACCACTTACTGCTGAAAGAAATTCTCCCATATGAGTGCTGAGTGACAACACAGGTGATCTCCTCAGTTACTCTTTTCCAGAAAATATAGTGATTGAGTTCATAGGATCATTGCTTGTTCCTTGAGTGAAAGCCAAAAGCTTAATGTGGAAGTTCAGCTGAGGGGAGGCAGAGAGAGGAGCTGGAATATTCTCCATAAATATAATCTCTCTCATGACTTTTGAAAAGAGTTGATAGCAGATAGTTCTAGGGTCTTGCCAGGTGTAGTGCCCTATAAGTGGGCATTGAATAAATAAATGAATAGGGGCTAGCCTGGTGGCATAGTGGTTGGGTTCGCATGCTCTGCTTTGGCGGCCCGGGGTTTGTAGGTTTGGATCCCGGGCACAGACCTACACACTGCTCAGTAAGTCATGCTGCGGTGGCATCCCACATACGAAATAGGGGAGAATGGTTAGCTCACTGACAACCTTCCTCAAGCAGAAGAGGAAGATTGGTAACAGATTATAGCTCAGGGCCAATCTTCCTTACAAAAAAAATAAATAAATGAATGAAGGAATGGTGGATTTGAGATGGAATTCTGTAATGTATAAATAAAATAAAAAGGTGATTAAAATGGCGTCTTTAATAGATAAAAATGAGCTACTCTAAGATTCTCCCTTAGATGGTGGTCATCGCTCTCATGCATAAAAGTTATATTCCATCCCAAGAAATAAATGTAGATCCATTAAGAGTCACGTGAATAAAAAATCTGTTTCATCTAAAGCTTTGATAATTTTGTCTTTGTCAATGACCGTCAAACTTACATCTTTCACAAGGCTCAGCTTTTCAACATCCAGTAAGTCCTTGTGCTCGGCATTGTGCCAGGTGCCAGCAATATAGTGGGAAGCCAAACCATTGTCCCTGCCTTCCAGCAGCTCGCAGTCTAGTTGGGGATAAAGATGGCAAACAAATAATTACACAAGCAATTAATTAAATTGCAACCATTGTTAGGGAGAAGTACAGAATAAGAGAGCAAACACTGAGAGAATGGTGTCAGATGGAGAGGGGGTCAAAGAAGCCTTCCGAAAGGAAGTGACATTCACACTGAAACTTGGAGGGAGTGTGAATGTGCATCAGGTGAGAAGAGAGAGGAAACACATTCCAAGCAGATGGGAACATTACATACCAAGCCTCTGGATTCAGGAAGGGGTTTGGCATATGGTGCAGAGTATCTTCATTTGGGTTTCCCAGGAAGCCGACTGTGAGATAGGAAGTCAAAAGAGGTGAATGAAACACCATAATGGAGTAAAAAAGAGAGACAGGAAGAGGAAGGCAGCCTATAAGGCTACGACTGTGGCAACAAGGACTTAATTCTACTGGTGAAATTCTGGAAGCTGGTATATAGCAAACAGGACAGAGTTATCTCACCCTAGGGATGAGGGAATTAAGGTATTTATACACTTGGGGATGTATATACTCTCATCAGTCATTGAGGGATGTTTCCAGGCTGGGAACATTAATCCCCTGGGGTTTATGGCTTATTTCTTGGGCCTCGAAGCAGGCTGCAAAACTACAAGAAGCTTGCAAGCAAAGAAATACAGGTGCTAGTGGTGAGAAGTCAGTGATGTGCACCCAAGTCATAAGGCCTGGCAGCATCTGCTACACAGGCTCTTTTGGTTGCTTGCCCAATAGCCAATTTCCCCCATCTTTTAACTGTCAGACCCTGATCATTTTCCACCACGTAGCCATGTAGAAAATAGCCCTATCCCTAGCTCAAGAGTGAATCCTAAGTAACCTCAGCCAACCATACAAATCCCACCCCCCCTTTGCCCAAGATTGGTTTAGGGGTGGGCTTGTGGCCAGTTCTAACTAATGAGACATGAGAATTTTTCTTAGAAAGATTTTCTAGCCTAAAAAAAAAAGAGAGACACACATGAAGAAAGAGTTCCTCTTTTCCTGTGATTCCTGGAACCACTGCAGCCGTCTTGCAATGATGCTGAGGATGAGAGCAACCCTTATCCGAGGTTGGAGCCAAAAGATGTGGAGGCACAGGTCTATCATACTGCACCTCCTTATTATGGGAGAATAAAGTGTCCTAGTGTTAAAGCCCTTTAGAATGGAATTTTCCATTCCTTGAGCAAAAAGCATCATGATTGATACAGAGCTTATGAGGAACTGAAAGATGGCCAGACCATCTGGAGTGGGGTGAACAAAGGGAAATTGGAGGAGTTCATTGGCTTAATTTCCTTAATCTCTCAAGATGAGGAATTTATAGAAGTGAACACTGAGGATGAGATTACAAATAGTCCTTTCTAAATATATTTTGATACTTTAGAAAGAGCTTCCAAACTGGTAGTTTCATTTGACCCTCTTGACAATGCTGGGAGGACAGGTGTCATCTGCATTTTATAATGGAGAAAACTGAGGGCCAGAAAGATTCAGTGTCTTGACAGAGCCAAGATCAGAAGTCAGCCTTTTGATCCTTAATCCAGAGCTCTTTCTTCTGCCATGATTTAGGGAAGGATAGTGTGGGGAGGCCACCTGTTCTGAAAACTCTTTTAACATCATGGCTTAGGTGAAACAAATGAACAGCAAGTCAGACTTGTTCAGTGTGGCCCTAAGGCATGTTTCCCAAGCCACATGGCTCCACCCTTGGGTGACATGCTAGCCTCTGCATATTCTCTGTGCATTGTATATTCTTAGGCAACCACCCTTTCATATTTTCAGTCATGTATAGGTGCAACTGACCTTCCCCACACTTTTGAGGTGGGCACTAATTGGCTTAAATCAATTAGAATATCTCTTTTTTTGTGGCCACAGTGATTGAGTGAGGGATGTTATGTAACTAATCAGAGATAATGAGCTGTAAGTATATATTTGCTGGAGTCTTCTGGGAAAGAAAAGATGAGGCTGTGAGGTCTGGAAATGGTCCCCTTCAAGGCAAGCACATGGAGCTGCTGGGGGAAGAGGAGGGTGATGACAGGATAACGTGTGGAAGAAGAGGAACAGAAGCTGACACCGCCAGGGGAGGAGGAGAGAAATGGAGAGAAATGAGGTGATATTATTTGCACACTAGATAGAGTCTTGTCTGAAGCCACCCTTTCCTGGGAATTTTGGCTGAAAGTTTCCCTTTATTATTTAAACCACTATAGGCTAATGCTTTTTGCCCCTTGCAACATGGAGTTATAACTGATCAAGTCATATTCCAGAGAATCCCTTTCTTAGGCCATAGCGACCTTTTCAAGCTCCAAGATCCTATAACCCATCTGCATTTCATTCATTTTGCAACTCATTCTACATTGCCTTGAGAAGTTCCTTTTTATAGGCTCATTAAAATCATTTCTCTCTTAATTAGCATTTGTTTGTGTATGTATTCATCTGGCCCCCATAGCCATATTACCAGTTTCTTAAGGCAGAGGCCACAGACAGTACTTCTTGTGCCTAATGCAACACCATGCTTCATACATCACACATGCTCAGGTCAAATTTTTTGATAAGTTAAATTTCAAAATTTCAGATAAATATGAACTTCTATTTTCATGTGATTAAGTTTCATTCTCTCATTTATTCATACTTTCAACAAGCATTTATCAAGTGCCTGGATATGCCAAGTGCTGTAATAGGTGCTAGAGGCACAGAGATGAAAAAGACAGAGGCCCTGCCCTAGAAGAGCTTGTAATGAGCTGAGAGACA